GCGGATGCCGGGTAGCTGGAGACCTGACCCCTATGTGCCTGTCCCCCCAGGATGATCTCAGCTGACAGCCGCTCCTTCCTGTTGACGGACCTGGCGTCAGGCCGCACCTATGACCTGTGCGTGCTGGCGGTGTACGAGGACAGCACCACCGGGCTGACGGCCACGCGGCCAGTGGGCTGCGCTCGCTTCTCCACCGAGCCCGCGCTGCGGCCCTGCGGGGCCCCACAGGCACCCTTCCTGGGCGGCACCATGATCATCGCGCTGGGTGGTGTCATCGTGGCCTCAGTACTGGTCTTCATCTTCGTCCTGCTCATGCGCTACAAGGTGCACGGCGGCCAGCCCCCCGGCAAGGCCAAGGCAGCCGCTCCCGTCAGCAGCGTTTGCTCCCAGACCAACGGTGCCACACCGGCCCTGTCCGCTCCTGAGCCCTCCGCACCCAGGGCCCACACCGTGGTCCAGCTGGACTGTGAGCCCTGGGGGCCCAGTCACGAACCCACGGGACCCTAGCCTCGTGCCCACCTCTGTGGCTCTTCTGGCCCAAGGGACCCCCTGTGGGACCCGGCCTCAGACTCACCAAATTGTTCACGGTTTTTAAAACTCTGACGGGGAGGGTGTCAGGGGCACTGGGGGGCACAACAAGAAAGTCCTATTTTTCTAAGCTTGGGCCTGGGCCCTTGCCCTTGTCTCTGTCTGTGGGAGTTGGGGGGATCATGCAGGGGTCTGGAGCTGGGGATGCCTCCTCTGGGGAGAGACCCACCCAGTTCTGCCCAAGGTCCCCGGATGTGGCTGAGAATGGTCATCCATTTAATCAGCGTGTTGTCTCTGAGCATGCCCTGTGGTGGGTGATGCTGTAGTGACTCCGGCAGCCCCAAGCTCCGCCCTCAGACAGTGATAACTCAGAGTGATCAGAGATGTGGTGATGTTAAAGTCTGGGAGATTGTGGGAGCCCAGAAAAGGTGCCTGACCCGCCTAGGGAAGGCTTCCTGGAGGAGACGTGACCTGAAAATAACATCTGAAGGAGATAATTGGCCAAGAGCAGAGGGAAAAGTGTTCCAGGCAGAGGGCACGGTACAACCAAGGACTTAGTAAGTGCCGGACATTGGGGTTACTGTGGTAAAGGTGAGGCTGGAGGGGTGAGCAGGGTCCAGGCTTTCTAGGCTGAGGAGCTCAGGCTCTAGCCTGATAATATTGGGAAGCCATGGAAGATTCTGTGCAGGGGATGACAGGGTTAGGTTTGGGCTTTAGGAAGATCCTTCTAGCTACCACGAGGAAGGTGGACCAGAGGGGAAAAGCAGGGAGCCCGGGTGGAAGCCAGGGTGGGGACAGCAGCCCAGGTGGGTAAGGACAAGACTGGACCAGGGCAGAGCTGGGGAAAGTAGTTAGGCTTGGGTGAGAGACATTCAGGAAGCTGAGCAGATGAGTTAGGGAGCTGAAGTACCATGGGGGAGGGAAGTGTCCAGGATGACACCCAGGTCTATGGCCAGGGAGAGGACAGTGGAGCTGCTATGATGCAGGACCAGAGAGAAGAGGCAGATTTAGGGAAGATGCCAAAGCCAGTGTGGGACTTGGTGGATGTGTAGCACTCAGAGGACATCTAAAGGGTGATAGCCAGGGGGCCTCAGGAACGCCGGTCTTGGGCAGGAGCTGGGGACAGAAATGACAGCTCTGTCAGTAGTGATGGGGAACTGAGGCCACCAGGGTGGTGAGACAGCCTCTGGGATTTTCCATTTCTAAGGGATAGACAAAGAAAAACTTAGACTTAAAAAGACTAAACAGGAGCAGCAGGTGGAGGGACAGAGTGAAGCAAACAGGACAAGTCAGATCCAAGTGACTGTTGTGTTTAATGACATCAAGACTGCAATGAGAGCAATGTTAGGGGTCCAGTTGGACTGGTGCCAGACCCCGCTGATTCGAGAATGGGAGTTAAGAGTGTAGGGAGTGTAGACCTGTGATTCGGGGGCCTGGAGTCTGGTTCAGGTTGACCTGGACCTTTCTGCCCCACTTTCTCCAGGGATGGACTTCACTCTGTCTTGGACTGCCCTAGGCCCCCCTCAGACACCAAACCCTGGGCCTTGGAAATGTCCGGACTCCTTGGAGATTGGGGAATGGGATTAGCAGCAAGAGGAACAGTGCTCCTTGACCTCAGGCTTACCTCTAGTGGTGGGTCAGAGGCAGAGATGTGGAGGGAACTGGGGTCCTGTCGGCCTTCTCTGGAGTGATGCTGATGTGAGGAGCAGGGTGAAGAGGGCCAAAGACTGGCCTTGCCATCCTCATGATGCGGGGCGCCCTAGCTTTGTTGGTGGGCGTAGCCTTTGGAAATGATGTTCTATTGGCCGTGGGAACAGCCTGAGTCCCGGGGATCTGGCCTGACTCCCAAGTCCTCCAGCAGCATCGTTGTTAACCTCAGATGTCTGAGATCAGAAGCAGCCATCAGGGACTTTAAGGTGTCTTGGGGAAAAAAGCCTAGGGAGATTTGGATACCTAGAGCCAGTTTCTGCCATGAGGGGGAGCCAGAGTGCACTGTTCTTCAACTCTGTTTTTAAAATATTAAGTTATTGCGTGCCTACTTGTGCTACCTGCTGGGGATTCAATAATGAACAAACACAGGCCTGTCCTGCCCTCACACACCTCACCATTTGGTGGGGAAACAAATGTTAAATAATCACAAAACCAAGTGTAAGCCTCTGTGGTGACAAGTGGGGGCCATGCAGGAGAGACACATGGAGCTATGAGACCCTGTAACCAGGGGACCTGACCCAGGAAGAAAGGTTGAGGGAGGCTTCCTGGAGGAAGTGATGCCCCAGCTGAGACCTGAAGGATGATCAGGCTGGAGTTAACTACACGGGTAGAAAGGGCACTCCATGCCAATGGAACAGCATGTACAGAAGTCCAGGGGCTGAGGGATGCATGGTGAGTAAAGGGACTGAAAGAGGCCATGTGGCTGAAGTGGGTNGGCTGAGGGATGCATGGTGAGTAAAGGGACTGAAAGAGGCCATGTAGCTGAAGTGGGGTGGGGAAAAGGAAGTGATGCATGTTGAGACTGGAGAGGGAGAAGGGGCAGGTGATGCAGGCCACTGTAGGCCACTAAGAGGAGTCTGGATTTTATTCCAAGTGCCATGAGAAGTCATTGGAGGGTTTTCAGCAGTGAGGAGAGTTGTCCTCCCTGATCCTAAAGAAGCTCCAGTAGCAGGTCTGTTTGCATGTGGGGACAAAAGTGAAGCAGGGAGACCAGGGAGGAGGCCACTGCAATGGTCCAGGCAGAAGGCTGACCCAGCCCAGGCTGGGGCCTGAGTGGGTGATTGGAGAGAGATTTGAAACTACCTCACCAGAAGCCTCCATCCCCTATGCAGATGAGGGCAGTGAGGGTCACTGTCCATCTACCTGGTTTTCAGGCAAGATTGCAGAGAGACTGGGTAAGAAGAGTTGTGTGGCCCTGGTATCTGATATCCAAGGATCCATTCCTTGGATGGGGGAGGTGACTTCTCTGTAGCATAGGAATTAATGACCTTTTCCAGGTTCAAGTACCAGGCAGTCAGTGGACCGAGGCTCTGCAAGGCAGAGGTTGTGGCTGATGGGGTGGGGGTGGGGGAATGTAGACACAGGAAATGCAGACCCAAAAGGGGGATACACCTCGTGGTAGCTTATTACATGTTTGGAAGTAGGGAGGGTAGAAGGAGGTATATGGGGGCAGACTGGTCGCTCTAGCATGCCCCCCTGTATCCCCCACAGAATGCCTGAACCATCCCCCATCCCCATGCAGAAACAATACAAGTGTACAAATGGTCACGTGTATCTAGAATTTAAAGTTTAAATGTAGCTTGTCCAACACTGCCTAGCTAATTTCCTGAGCTCAGGGAGTGCTACTCCATCCACTGCCCATCGCCATCAGGCTTTGAAAATGCCCTGCACATTTTTGAGACCACCATCCTGGTGCCAACATGCCAGGTTACTGGAACATTTTCAAGTCACTAGTCCTGATACCAGGACTCTCATGCTGCCTAATCCAACCCGCCTGTTTGGGTGTGGCTAATCTGGGCATCCTTGTGATCCCTTGCAAGGCCTCAGCTCATTGCAAGCTTTTGCAGCTCTTCACATGGGCTCACAAAAGCAATGATCGGTATCAATGCTCGGTGTTGCCCTGACCTGTGTAGAGTAGTGCTGAGAACGACATAGTGGTGACCAACATAGCCTCAGACCCTGCCCTCAGAGTTCCAGTCCAGTGGAGGAAATAGATACGAAACAATGACAGCCCAGGGTGGCCAGGGCTGGGATGGGGGAAGCCCAGGTGAGAATGGTTAGGGCCTGTTTAAGCCCAAGGAACTGTGGGAGTCCAGAAGGGGCTCCTAAGAGCCTGGGCTGGGAGCTGGGAAGAGTGCAAGATTTCCCGAAGACAGGGTCAGCTTCTTGGCAGCATGACCCTTGGCAGTCACACAAAGCCCCACTTTTAGAAGGACCCTCTGCTTGGTTGAATGCCCCTGCTGTCACCATTGTGAAATTCTTAGTGATTTTTGAATAAGGGCCTCTACATTTTCGTTTTGCACTGGGTCTTGCACACTTGCAGGCTATACAAAGAGCCAGAAGAATGAAGGGCCTTCCAAGGAGAGAGGACACTGTGCAAAAAACAAGAAAAGAGGACAGGGTTGTGCACTTGAAGAATTGGCCAAAGTTCTGTGACAGCTGAGCTCGCAAGTGGGCAGTTGCCAGCTGCCAGGCTAAGGAGCTGTGACTCTGCTAAAGGCACTGGGGAGCTATGGGGAGGGACAGGGTCAGGCTCAGACTTAGAAAGATCCATCTGGCTACAGTGCAGAGGGGGGCCGAGGGCAAAGAACAAGTTTGGGGGGGGCTCAGTTACCTGCGGAGGGAGCTGGGAGTGTCTGGCTCCTGTGGACAGCATTATGAAGGAAGAGCCTTGAATGCTTGGGTGACAAATATCCCAGTGCATGAGGACACTGGCTGGGGACACCCCAAAACCACAGGATGAACCCACAGCTTTTTTTTCACTTGAAGATTTTCACCATTGAAAGTGGGACGGGGTGCACATTGGTAGTTAAATGGTGTCACTGGTAGGTACTTTAAAATCTTTTTATATGAGAACCCATATAGAATAATGGAGGTGAATGCAAAATTGACAAGAATTTAGAGTATAAATGTGAGACTTCAAAGAACTTTAGTCTGGGTATATTCTGGCTTCAACTCTTTGGAACCCCCAGGGTGCACTTCCCTGTCCCCAGTCCTCTGGATAAAATGTCAATTCTCTGGGAACCTTCTCCCCCATAGCCCTAAATGCTGTGGCCCCAGGGCTGGGAACTGACACCCTTCCTGCCCCTCCACTCACCCTTCTGTGGCATCACCCCTCTCCCCTCATGCCCCACCGCCTTGACTTTCCTTCTCTGCTGTTGACCTCTACCACCTCTGTCCCCAGAGCTGGCCCCTCTCCTAACCCCTTAGGCATCTCACACCCACTGGGTCCTACTGGCCTTAGCTTCTTCCCAAACCTGAAGAGCCTGGGAAGGATCTTAAGCAGGTGAGAAGTGAAGCTATTGTAGGAAAGTCAGTTCCCTCTTGAATTCTCTGCTACTCCCCCTACCAAAGGCAAGGGTTCTGGGGGAAAAGGCGCTAGAGGCGTAGGCTCCTAGGACCTAGGGGAGGGGAGGCTGGAAACTATA